ATGAACAGCCAGAAGGCACCAAGAATGACATTCACATCTTGGTGAGGGATGCAATTTGCTTAGTTTTAAAAATTATATATATTTTGCATATAATATATGTGATTTACTTATATTTAAAACAAAAGAGCAACATGTTCAAGCAAGTCAAACAAAATATGTTTTAAAAATTAATAATTCCCGGGTAGCGCCTATGGCTCAAAAGAGTATGGTGCTGGCCCCATATGCCGGAGGTAGCGGGTTCAAACCCAGCCCCAGCCCCAAAATTAATAATTCCCCCAACCAATTTCATCCCCACATTGGAAGCAGTTCAGTATATTCTTCCATAACTTTCTTTATACAGCTATACATCTGTGGCTTTCCCTTCCTTTCATTTCTTTTTCTTTTTCACAGAAAATGACATTTTACTATACATATTTTTCCCAGTTTTTTTATGCTGAAAAACATGGATTTCACCCTTGGTCTGGAGGTATAGCTACATTTTTTGGTCATAACTGTATAATATCCAACCATACGGACTTACCACAAATTACTTACCATTTCCCTAGTGATTAATATTCAGGTTGCTTACCATTTCCTGCCTGTAAAACAATGATGCTTCCCCTACCTCAGATTAAACAAGTTACATACTTTATTTCTTAACTTTCTTTTTCTCTTTTCCTTGTCTTTAGTTTTTATATTTAGACTTTTTATTTCTTATAGCATAACTGTGTACACTAATGCAATCGTGGGGTACAGTGTGCTGTTTTCATATACATTTTGAAATACTCTCATCAAACTGGTTAACATAACCTTCATGTCATTTTCTTAGTTACTGAGTTAAGACATTCATACTCGAAATCTTTCTTTTTCTATGGTATGACATACCGAATCTTTTTGTTTTGTTTTCTTCCAAATGAATATCTTTTTTTATTTTTGAGACAGAGTCTTAACTCCGTTGCCCTGGGTAGAGTGCTTATAACTCTTGGGCTTAAGTAATCCTCCTGCCTAAACCTCCCGAGTAGGTGGGTGTACAGGCACTCACCACAATGCCTGACTCATTTTTTTTTTTTAGTAGAGATGTGGTCTTGATCTTGCTCAGGCTAGTCTCAACTCCTGACCTCAAGCAATCCACCTGCCTTGGCCTCCCACAGGGTTAGGATTACAGGTGTCAGCCATGCACCTGGCCTTAAATAACATTTATTAAATAAGCATTCTTTCTTCACTAAATTGAAACACCATCATGTCACAGAAAAAGTTCTCATTCATGCTTGGACTATTTCTGTACTCTCTGTCCTTTCTGAATACTCCGAATGTTATTTGTTCCTGTGTTAATCATTTGTTTCAAATAAGGCAGGTCTCCTTCCCTTCTTTTTCAAGCTTTTCTTGGTTATTTTAGGATATTTGCTCTTCTGTGTAAAGTTTAAGACAATTACTGCATTTAAAATTAGAAATACATTAAACATAAATATTAGTTGAAGAAGAAAAGATATTTCTATGTTAATTTTTCTCTTTCAGTAACATGGTCTTCTCTCTGATCATATCATGGTTTTTGTTTTCCAGTAGGATTTTATAGTTCTTCACATATTCTACATCTAGATCTTATACTTTCATTGTTCAGTTTATTCCTGGTTATGTCATAATTTCTGGCAGTTTTTTTTGGCCGGGGCTGGGTTTGAACCTGCCACCTTCGGTATATGGGGCCAGCACATGTCATAATTTCTTATCTGTATTATAGAGTCTACTTCTTTTTCAAAGTGGTTGTTTCTAATATAGACAAAAGTAATTTTATTTCATTTTTATTTTACATTTTATTTTATTTTGAGACAGAGTCTCACTTTGTTGCCCTGGCTAGAGTGCCATGGCATCATAGCTCATAGCAACCTCAAACTCTTGGGCTCAAGTGATCCTCTTGCCTCAGCCTCCTAAGTAGCCAGAACTATAGGCGCCCACCACAAAATCCAGCTAATTTTTAGAGACCAGTGCTCAGGCTGGTCTTGAACTCCTGAGCTCAGACAATCCACCTGTGTCAGCCTCCCAGAGTGCTAGGATCACAGGTGTGCGCCACATTGCCTGGCCTGACAAAAGTTATTGAATTATTCATGGCTATTTTATGTCCAGCCACCTTTCACATTCTTTCATTACTTTTGATAATCTCTTGAATTTCTAGACAAATATATGGTCTGCTAACGGGAAAAAGAGTCACAAATTTTGTATTATATGAATTTTTTCATTATCTTGTATATTAGCTAAAACTTCGAGAACAAAGTTGAATGACAATAGTAGCAAGTATCAATGTCTTATTTATGATTTTAATGAAAATATCTTCAGTATTTCAGTCTAACCTGATGTTTGCTATTGAATGTTGGCAAAGGTGTGTGTAATGAGAGCCACCACCTGCAGAGGTGCAATGGGGCCACATATAAGAGAAGTTTGCCTTCTTCGAATGTATTGGAATAGTACTTGCTTTTTAAAGGACAAAGGTATAAAATAATCTGGTCCCCCCTTTTAGTGATAGATTTCAAATGACCTTCCTAGTTTCTTCTACTATTGCTTTGGTTTTCTGTTTTGGTTTTCAAGTTTTTCATGGATCAAATTTGGTAGATTATATTTGGCAAGAAAATAATCCTTTTACTTTTTTAAAGATTTTAAGTTTATTAGCATATATTAAAATTTAATAATCTATCCTAATTTTAAAAATTATTTGTATCTATGATTATCTTTCTCATTCTGAATGTTGTATATTTTCGTTTTTCTCAATCAGACTCGCCACGGTTTATCTTTTTTTTTTTAATTTTTTAAAGAACCCACTCTTCATTTCATATATATTTTCTTTTCTTTTTTATTTTTATAGTTGTGGTAGGCCAGATCATGGACCCTCTCCCCCAAAGGTGTTCACACTCTAATCCCTGGATCTTGTGAATGAATATGTTATATTACAAAAGATACTGTAACTAAGGTTACAGGCCTTATGATTGGGGGATAATCTTGGATTATCTGGGTTAGTACAATCTAACCAGGTGTATCCTTTTAATGACGGAGAGTTCAAGAACGTGGAATCAACTCAAGTGCCCATCAACCCATGAATAGATTAATACACTGTGATATATATATACACACACACACATATACCATGGAATACTAGTCAACCATTTAAAAAGATAGAGACTTTACATCCTTTATATCAGGGTTCTCAATCTTCCTAATGCCTCCTAATGCCGTGACCCTTTAAAACAGTTCCTCATGATGTGGTGACCCCCAACCATAAAATTATTTTCATTGCTACTTTATAACTGTAATTTTGCTACTGTTATGAATCATAATGTAAATATCTGATACCCAGGATGTATTTTCATTGTTACAAAGGGGTCACGACCCACAGGTTGAGAACCACTGCTTTATATTAACCTGGATAGAGTTGGAGAACATTCTCTTTAATAAAGTATCACAAGAATGTAAAAGCAAGTATCTGATGTATTCAGCGCAAATAAGAAGCCAGTAAATGAACTAATACCTGCCCACACAAGAGAAAAACTCACTGTAACTTAAATTGGAGGGAGAGGAGAGAGAGGAGGGGAGACAGGGAAGGAGGGAGCAGGATGGCACAATGTCAGGGTGTATGGCACACCTCCTGGGTGTGGAGCACAACTACAAGGGGACCTTACCTGACAAACACGAACAGTGCAACCTAATCGTCTTTATCCTTCTATTAATCTGAAATTAAAAATAATAAAGTGCCATACAATTCTAAAAGAAAAAATATAAGGGCAGAGAACTTTCTCTGGCTGAGGAGAGGAGACAAGGAGAAAGACAGAGAAGTCAGAGCGACTCCCTCCGAGGCGGTGAGATGGTTTGCTTCTCCCTAGCTAGCCCTGAGACGGAGAGAGCTGTGTATAGGAGCAGAGAAGGGCCCAGGGCAATTCCCAGCTGACAGCTGTGAAGAACTACGGCCCTCCCTCCTAAAATTACCAGGACCTAGATTCACCTAACAATCTGAATTAACTTGGAAGCTGATTCTACCCCAGAGGTTCCCAGTCAGAACCCAGGTGGGCTGATTACTCAATTTTGGCTTTGTTAGACCCAGAGCAGAGAAACCAGCCACACCAATCTAGATTCCTTTTGTACAGAAATTATGGGGTAAAAAGTTTGTGTTGTGCTAAGCCATTAAGTTTGTGGTAATTTGTTACAGTAACAAGAGAAAATGAATAGAATTAGTCATGATTCAGGCCGGGGTTCTTATTAATTTACTCTTCCTGGTGTATTTTGTTGCTCTGTTTTGGTTTAAGTGAATAGTTTATGTATTTTCAGCTTTTCTTTCCCCCAAAATAATAAAAGCATTTAAATCTATATTCCTATGAGAACTATTTTGGTTAAGACCCACAGATTTTATAAGTATTCTTTTTTTGATAATTCCTAGATAATTTCTTAATTTTACACATTAAGATACAGATCAGAGTGTAAATTGGTTTTTAGAGAATCTAGATTAAAAAGCATACCTGGCACAGGAAATCTTTTATTATAATATATATTATTTATTTATTTCATTATTTTATTTGTTATTCTGTAAATTCCATAGTTCTGGTGCCCCCTGATGGGGGAATAGTTATAATGGAAACACATGTAAAGAATGTTAAGACCACATTTCTAGTCACTGAATTTTTTTTCTTTTCTTTCTTTTCTTTTTTTTGAGACAGAGTCTTGCTCTGTCTCCCCAGGTAGAGTGTATAGCAGCGTCATCACAGCTCACAGCAACCTCAAACTCCTGGGCTCAAGGGATCCTCCTGCCTCAGCATTCAGAGCAGGTGGGACTACAGGTGCATACTGATGGGTAACTTGGGGGGAATTTTTCTATTTTTGGTAGCAAGAGGCTCTCACTTTTGTTCTGGCTGGTCTCCAACTCCTGACCTCAATCAATCTTCCCACCTGGGTGTCTTAGAGTGCTGAGACTGAAGGTGACAGCCATCGCTCCTGGCCTGTTTTACCTTTTATACTTTGTTTATAAATACACCAAGACACTGACTGACCTGTAAGACATAGAATATGACAGCTATCAGTCCCACCCAGCCGTGCAGACTGTACAGATGGGGGATATGCTGGGCATTGCGGTTCTCAAACACAGCCACCAGGGAGGTAATTGCAAGAATGGCAGCAACGGTATTTAACCCTGCGTGGATGGATTTCATCAGGAGCTTGCTGCATTTCCAGGTCCATGGCAGTCTGTATACGATGATGGCTAGGAAGAGATAAAAGGGGACAGAACATGTGTTTTTAAAAATCAGCACCAAATGGGCACTCTTTTGTGTGAAAACCTTTTCCCTTGCCTTCCCTCCTCCCCTCCTCCCTGTGTTATTCCTGTCTCCCAGTGACTCTTTTTTGGGTCTGAGGTTGGGGAGGACTCCTTTCCTGGCTGGCATTTGCTTCACCCCCAACTGGTGAAGGAACCTTGGTTCCTCTCAGGCTCAGTCCTAAGGCTTTTCCTTCCTATGCACTCTCTCTGTGGGTGAGTACATTCACTCTTTCACTGATATCTAAGTGGCAGGCACTCCAAAATTTATATCTCCAGCCCAGCACTGTCTTCTAAACTTCACACCCATGTAACCCAATGCCTTCTTGACATGTCCATATAGATGCCTCCCAAGAATCTCAAACTTAGCACACTCCAAACCCAAATTTCGATCATATTATCCATTATCATATTAACAGGTTCATGCCTATTGTCGCTTTTCTTCTTAAAAATGTCTTCCCTTAATAAGAAAAAGAAAGACTAAGGAATGGAAAACATGCAAAAAAATTAAATAGACATTTCACAAAGGAGTATATCCTAGTGGCTAATTAACATAAGAGATCAACTTCATTAGTCATCAGAGAAATGCAAATTGAAACCAAATGAGAATTCCTCTACTACACATCTGAATGATTAAATACAGAAAAACACTGGGTATGGAAATGAATGTACAGCAATCAGAACTCGAATGTTCTGCTGATGGTAGTTTAAATAAGAACAAATACTTTGGAAAACTGGCAGTATTTACTTAAGCTAAACTTATGTCTACCTAGGATTTAGCAATTTTACTCCTGGGCCTATGCCTAGGGTGACCAGACGTCCCGCTTTTGGCTGGACAGTCCCACTTTTTAACAATTTGTCCTGCATCCCGCTGCGTTTTAAAGAAGTCCCGATTTTTGGAAAGAATGCACCAACGGGTGGGAGAACAGTAAGGGAGTATATGGTTTTCGGCTGCCATGTGGCTATTTCGCCAGAATGTACGTTTTATATTAATTTTGTTAATTTTATAATGTTAAACTGTAATAATAACAAATAATTGTTGAGAAGTGATTATTGAGAACTGCTTATCAAAGTGTGCATTGTTGTCAGGCCCTGCCCTGCCCCACCCCCTGCCCCGTGCATCTCCCCACCTCCCCATGTTGTCCCGCTTTACAAATGTTAAAATCTGGTCACCCTACCTATGCCGAAAAGAAATATGTACAGATGCTCACCAAAGACACATCCTAGAATATTATTAATAACAATATTTATGGCACCAACACCTGGAAACTCCCCAAATGTCCATCATCAATAGAATGAGTAAATAAATTCACACCCTGGAATAATATACAGCAAAGAGAATGAATGAGCTATGCCTAGAATAACACTGGACGATATGGATCAACCTACAATGTCCAATCCCCAAAAGCCAAACACTAATAAGCAAATAGTCTGATTTAATGTATTATACATGAAGTAAAAAAACAGGCAAACCCCATGTCTGCAATGCTAAGATAGGATAATAGTGGCCTTTGTGAGAAAGGGATATTGCAACTGCAAAAGAACACAGAAGGGATTTCAGAGGCTCCCATCAATATTCTGTTTCTCGACCCGGGTGGTGGGGACAGAGGTATTCACTGAGAGGGTATTTATCATTCTGTGTGTGATTAAAGGTCATTAAAAAGGCTCCTGAAAAGGACTGTTTTTTAAAGAGACCACCAAGCAGAGAGGAGCAAACACATTTCTACACTTGGTCGCCTCCTGACTCTCCTGGATTCCATTAGGGAAGAGGAAGTGCTAGTTTGCTGCCAACCCAGGAGTAGGCCCTCAGGCTGCAGTAAGAAGAATCCTGGGAGAAAACTAAGGAGTAAACACGGAGACAGTGAGACATCAAACTAAAATTACTAGGAACTCTCAGGAAATCAGGAAGCAAAGAAAGAAAAAAAAAATAAGAAACTAGAAAAACCCAGCAGATCAGTTAATTAGTGCTTGGAGTGGCCAGAAGAGTCACAGCTTCCTAGAAGAATGGACATCTCTTGAATTTGAAGAGTTGAACAAAAAAAATCATGAATGGTCTAAGGCAATTGGCCAGTGTCTTGAATGGCCATAAAGAGGGACTGGCAGTACCTGTCTCCACACCATGACAAGTTTGCAGGAGGCCAAGGAACCTACCCCAACCCTGTCCTCGTGAAGAGGCCCTGCACAGGATCAGGGATACAGATGGAAGGCCAGCATCTCTCCAGGTCCTCTCTGTGCAGAGACACCTGACTTCCCAGCTCCCAGGTACCTAGCGTGGGCCTATGCCATTCACCTCAAGAGGCCACTGTGGGCTCCTCTACCCCAGAGCTACATGCAGGATCCTCGGGTACACGGATGGCAGCCCTGGAACATGAACCTTCCATGGTCAACTCCACGCCTGTCCCCTACCTTTTTCCTGGCAGCCCAAACACCCTGCCCCTGCACAGTAGTGGTCTACCCTCTTCTGATTCTGATTCAGGTCCTGTACTTAAAGACAGTTAGAACCTGGATCCGGATTCTGTCTGAAAAACCAAAAAAAATAGCACAACCAATGTATTAGTGCATGGCTCCTTCCTCTCCCAGCCCAATGTAATGAGAATAAAACGTGAACTAGATGCGTGACCATGGCCTCAAAACAAAATAAATAATTTTTTTGTTTTGAGTGTCCTCGTTTAAGCTCCTATCCATCCCTTCAGCCCACTTTAGGGAAAATTTAGGTATCTGGAAATATGTTACAGATTGAACAAATTTAAAGAATACTTCCTTGGAAGATGAATTCAACTGTGTCAATAGTATATGATGTACATTTCTTAGCTCTACCAGAAAAAAAAAATGAGCCTCCCACCATCAAAGACATTTATAATATGAATATATAAAACTTCATGGGATCATAGCAACATAACAGGTCATCTCTTCCTTTTTTAAGCAGAAACACAATCCACAGAGACAGATATGAATTCAGCCTATTGAAAGCTTTCAGCACAAGCTGTCACTCATCCTTCCTGCTCTTTAGCCCCACTCCAGTACTTGACAGCCCCCACCGTTATTCCTTTCACTTAATCCAAACCTTGGAAGATTGCTAATTTTAGTGTGTAGATGAGTATCTTGTAAGTGTTGATTGATTATCCTTCCTTGAGGACGCGGAGACTTTTTGGATATTCACTTCTATACTCCATAAATAGAAATATTTAAACATTTAATACAAACTAATGGAATACCTTAAAGAGTATACTTTTAAAGCAAGCTCAAGGTACCTCTTGCCCCCTACTTCATCTTCTCTGCAGGCAGTAATGTGTCTTGCTGTTTCTCCTTGTGTCCTCAGAGCCTAAGACAGCCCCAGGCTCAACGTATGTAGCTCCATAAGTATTTTTTTAATTTGTTGACTTTTTTGATTGACATATAATAATTGTTCATATTTATGGAGTAATAGTGATGTTTCAATGCATACAATGTATAGTGATCAGTTCGGGGTAATTAGCAATCCATCATCTTAAGTATTTATCATTTCTTTGTGTTAGGAACATTCCACTCTCTCTGCCAACCCAGGATTAGGCCCTCAGGCTGCAGTAAGAAGAATCCCAGGAGAAAACTAAGGAGTAAAAATGGAGAAAGTGAGACACTTTTATGTCCACAATAGTGTAGCTATTTGAAGGTATATATTATTGTTAACTAGTCATTCTATTGGGCTATAGAACACTAGAACTTATTTTTTAAACTCTTATTTTGAGAGAATTGTACATGCATATGCAGTTGTAAGAAAGAATACGTCTCATTCAGGATTCCCCAGTGGTAACATCTCAATTAGTACAGTATCACAACCAGGAAACTGACATCTACGTAATTACTGACCTTATTTAGAGTTCATCACTTTTACTTGAGAGAGAAAGAAGAGAGATCCATCAGTATTTTTAATTCTTATTATTTTTTTATTTTTAGAGACAGGGCCTCACTCTGTTGCCCAGGCTGGAATTCAGTGGCACCGTCATAGCTCATGGCAGCCTCTAATTCCTCAGCTCAAGCAATCCTCCTACCTCAGCCTCTCAAAGTGCTGGCATTACAGGTGGGAGCCATCACATCAGCCCATAAGTACTCCATAAGTACTTTTAAAGTAAACAAATGCAAAGCACTTTCTGCAGACTGATCAAAATGTAAAACCAAATTGCTCTCCACTCAAATACTGTGGTTTCCCCACTCATGCTTTTTCTCCTCTGAGCATTCAATGGCAAACCTTATATAATTCTCTAGTTTTCAGGGAATGCAAATGCCTCTTTACCCAAAGACCAGTGATCATTTATCCATAAAGTGGTGCCTTTCACAATCTGTGTGATTAGGCAGTAGTAAAATAAAAGTGTGCAATATATGAAGACCTGATAAACACATCTCTCCTTCTGGTTTGGCCCCACTTATTACACACACATGTGCATGCACACACACAAGTCCTTGCTAGGTAGTAGGTACCAATGTGAAATGCTTTATATGTTTATATATATGTATATATATTGAAACAGAGTTTCACTATGCTGCCCTCAGAAGAGTGCTATGGCATCACAGCTCACAGCAACCTCAAAATCTTGGGCTTGAGTGATTCTCTTGCCTCAGCCTCCCAAGTAGCTGGACTACAGGCACCCACCACAATAGCTAGCTATTTTTTTGGTTGCAATTGTCATTGCTGTTTAGCAGGCCTGGGCGGGATTCGAACCCACCAGCCTCGGTGCATGTGGCCAGTGCTGTAACCAGTGTGCTACAGGCGCCAAGCCTATATGCTCACATTTTAATTCTCACCTTCACTCTGTCAGGAAGGTACAAATATTATTACTGTTGTTCAGAGGAGGATGCTGAAGCAGAGAGGTTAAGTAATGTGCTCCTTCTGAATTAGTAGGGTTTTTGTTTGTTTGTTTTGTTTTTGAGACAGAGTTGCACTTTGTCGCCCCCAGTAGAGTGCTCTGGTGTCA